AAAGGCGGGGTTGAGAGAGGACCCACCTGCCTCTGAAGCGAGGACATCGCCCAGGGCCGCCCGCGGGGGTGGTTACAGCCTCGCTTGCCCCAGGAGCATCGTCCCCTCCGTGCCTGTCCTCAAGCAATGAGGGTGCAGCCCAGGGTGCTGTGCCGGGTCCCTGAGGTGCCTGCAGGGAGGGGGACAGCAAGGCCACCCATGGCCCGAGGGGACAGGAGCTAGCTGGGGGTGGCTAGCACGAGCCCCAGGACTGTGCAGGGACACAACTGGCTCTGCAGGACACAGGGGCGGGGGAGCACCTGGCTCCTTTGGCCCCACAGCCTGTGCCCAGGCCACCCCTGGGTGCCCCATCCCTGAGGGGATTGCTGCCGCCGGTGCTCTGGGCAGGAGCCGACCCCCTGGGTGCTGCTGCGGGGCTGGTGGCACCAGCAAAGGGTTAAACAGTGCTGGGTGCGCGGGGAAGGCTGGCCGGGCTCCCACCCCCTCCCCGGCTGTTTGATTTGCACCCTGCCGAGAGCAGCCGGGGAGGTAGGGGCCCTTGCCTCGCCACGTTCCGGGGTCTCAGTGCCACACCAGAGACGGTACCGAGAGGCTAGGCCAAGGCCGGTGCGATGTGTCTCATGGTAGAGCCCGAGGCACGTAGAGGTGCCACGGCCCTAAATCCTGGGAGTGCGGGGAGGGGGAGAGCGAGGCGCTGGGGTGGACAGCTTTGCTCCTGCTGGCTGTAGCCCAGGCCGGAGCAGCACAGGAGGCAGGAGCCCAGCAGGGACCTTCCTGCTCACTCTGCGGTCCCTTTGGGGCCAGAGGGTCCCAGGCAGGGCTAGGGGAGATGGCTCTCACCCACTGCACCGGTGCGGGGGTCTGAGGCACCCCGCAGCCCCACCAGTCTGAGGTCCCCCCCCGGCAGGGCCTGGCCCCTAACCTTGGCTGGGTTTCTCTCTCCCACAGAGCTGACACCATGAGCCAGCGGATCCTTTGCACGCTGCTGCTCCTGGCCCTTGGGGAGCTGGCCGGGGCATGTCCCTCAGGCTGCCAGTGCCAAGACCCCAAGACCATCCTGTGTGCGGCCAGACGGGGCCACACCGTGCCCCAGGGGCTGCCCCCCAACACCCTCTCCCTCTACGTCTTTGAGAACGGCATCACGATGCTCAGCGAGGACAGCTTTGCAGGCCTGCCCGCCCTCCAGCTCCTGGACCTTTCCCAAAACAAGATCACCAGCATTCAGAAAAACATCTTCCAGCCCCTGACGGAGCTCGTCAACTTGGACCTGTCCTCCAACCAGCTGCAGGAGATCACCAATGAGACCTTCCACGGGCTGCGGCTGCTGGAGCGGCTCTACCTGCAGCGGAACAGGATCCAGCATATCCACGCTGCCGCTTTCAACACGTTGGAGAACCTGCTGGAGCTGAAGCTGCAGAACAACCAGCTCTGGGCCGTGCCCCCCCTTGACCTGCCCAACCTCCTGCTGCTGGACATCAGCTGGAACAAGATCCCCGCCATCGCGCAGGGGGCCTTCCACACCCTCAACATCGAGTCCCTGAAGATCGCGGGGCTGGGCCTGACGAGCTTAAACGAGGAGCTCTTCCAGGCCCAGAACAACCTCCACGAGCTGGACGTCTCCGACAACCTGCTGGAGCGCGTGCCGGCGGTGCTG